GCTCCCCCACCCCCTCAGCCTTCCTCCCAATTCGGGCCCCTAGGAAGATCTCCATAGGTGATAAGCCTGGCCACTGGTCTTCCCCTGTCTCGCCAGTTGCTTTCTCCTCCCGCTCCCATCGTCCCCCTGCTTAGTCTCGATTGTGTCATAGTTTTGAAGCATATCGTTTTCCTTTGGTACAGTGGCACCGGTGTAGGTTGGGAAGATCGCGTAAAAACTATCACTTCTCCCACTCACATAGTGTTGCTGGCAGATGTCATCGCCCTGGCTTCTTTCGTCTTTCGAGTCGGTGGAGGGGGTGCTCACGACCTTCTCAGGATGTTGGCACGCATGAGGGCCAGGACTCCGTTTTCCTTGTCGGTGTTCGTAATTTCAGTAGCGACCGTCGTGTCATTTACCATCTTGCTACTCCCACATCCAATAGTGTCCGTCAAGATTTCGTCGACGGCTTGGTACTTGATGGACAGTGAGCTTTCAATAGCTGTTCGTAGGCATAGCAGAGATGGTAGTAGGTGGATGCATGAAAGTTCTACCAGGCCCGACCATCAGCTAGATGCTCGTGGGAGAGAGATGCAGTTTCCATCTCCTCCTCCAGCATGTCCATCCTATAAAGGCTGTCTTCCAACAGATTTATTGATGACAAGTCAGAGTTGTCGCCCCCTCCTCCGACTGCTGTCTTGACCAAGTTCAGTATATGTTCGTAGTTTGCCCCATCGTCAGCTGCTAGGAACTTGTTGGCCATGGCCACTTGTCTTGATAATGATGATGACTTTTCCGTTTCTTGTTGCCGGTGTGTAGGAGAACCACTCAGCAGGTCATATAGCAACTTGTTCTCCGGCCGCAAGCTCTTGATCGCCTTCGTGGCCAGGTGCGGATGCGTGCATGTGCGGTGTCTTCGTGCCGGTTTGATGTTGATGGTGTTATCGTTATCATTAAAGTCGTATCAGGTTATGTCACGGATCTCCTAGCTCCGTGACTGGCTGGTTTCTGCATTCGACATGCCTACTGCTTTGTGTGTCTCCTCTTCAGCTCTTGTTTCGGAGCTTGACTCGTCCTTTCTTCATGGAAGGCGAGGAGGAGATTGGTCACACTGAAAGCACCGCCTCGTTCACATTCCCGCCATATTCGGTTGATGACGAAGCAATGGTTTAGCCGATACCCGAACCGGTCGAGGCCTTGTTACCCAGCGGTAACAGAGCCCAGCATCTCGTCGGTCCCTTCTAGGACTTCCTAGGTCTGCAAAGGCTATTGCTATTCGATTTATCGGCCCCTCTTCTCTTTGGCCTCCAGCTGGAAGTTTTGCTTGACAACATTAGAAATATCCCTGATATTATCAGTTTTTAACTACGAATAGGGGGCGATTGTTGACGACATGACCGTAGCATGTGACAATAATCCAGTAGCATTGAATGAATTAAGAAACGCTATAGATGCGTGCTATGTTTTATCGGAAACTTCCATTAACTGGGATAAATCTACTTATTTCCTCCCCCCCACCCAGGAGCTGGGTGTGGATTAGGGGTTGAAACATGTACCTGCCAACTCTTCAGACTGCTTTCGAAGGGTCTAGGTGTCTTTGACTGATTGCTTTGTGGTGCAACACTCCCTGCTTGCAGATAAGGTTGCCGCTAGGATCATTGCAGGATGGAAGCGGAACTTCAAGCTATCGCTCTTCAGTCGAGCTCTCGTGACTACTTAGGTGGATGTCTCACTACTTTGGTTTCCCCTCTAAGTCCATTTATTGGGAGAAGGGGTATATTCCCAAATCAAGAGAGATGCAGCCCGTTATTTATGGAAGCCAGAAGCAGCATTACTACAAGGTTTTACTTGGAACCTGGAAGGTAGCTTAGGAATCGATCACTCTGTCCCGAAGTCAAGCTGGTTTGGGAATTCTGGATCCAGATCACCAAAATTTTGCCCTTCTATGAAAATGGGTGATAGCGGCGGCTTTCGGACCACGGTCCGAACTGTGGGTCCGGTTAGCTGAGTATATCCTAGCTATAGCATGGGGCTTCTTCAGACAATCAAATGTGAAGTTGTGCCTATTCGTCCCTTCCTTTTCCTCTATAAGTCCGCAAACTAGACTATGGTGAAGCATTCTGTTTGCATGGCGCAAAGTGTTCCCACAAGTTCTCAGACCGCCAGAAACAAGAGAACAAGTATTGAACCAGATTTCGTTCGGAAAACCCTCTGATCAAATCGACGGAGGGCTCTTGGCTCAAGGCGGACGGTAGTGCAGGGTCTTTTGGAAAGGCATGGGTTGAGAAAGGTGTGATACACGTAAGGGGGGGACTGGCTGTCTTTTGAGGACCTCAGGGCGAAACTGCCCCAGCTCCGTCAGGTGGAATCTAATTATTAATATTTATTATATATTACAAGCCAGTATCCCCCCCTATTGGATTCTGCTGCTGCCAAGCTCAGCAGAACCAAATATGACAGGCAGGTGATTTTAAGAGTAGCAGGGCCAGAGTTGCCACAAGGAATATGACTACAGGTCTGGAACCGGAAACCTGGGTACGCTGCAACCCCTCCCTAAACAGGGTAGAAGATAAGATTGTTCGGACAACAGTGGGTTTTATGGAATGCCGAGTTTGGCTCAGATCCTCCGGGGGTGAGAAGAAGGCCACAAGCCCTCAATCCTGGCGGTTCTCGTACCACCGCTGGGATAGGCGGCTGGCGCAAGGGCTTTTTCCAAAAAACAATTTGGCTCCGATCCTCTGGTGCTGAGAAGGAGGCCACAAGCCCTCAATCCTGGCGGTACTCATACCACCGCTGGGATAGAAGGCTGGCGCAAGGACTTTTTCCAAAAAACAAAAGAGTTTGGCTCAGATCCTCCAGGGGTGAGAAAGAGGCCACAAGCCCTCGATCCTGGCGGTTCTCCGCTGGGATAGAGGGCTGGCGCAAGGGCTTTTTCGGAAGTTTTTCCAAAAAACAATTGAGTTTGGCTCAGATCCTCCGAGGGTGAAAAGGAGGCCACAAGCCCTCAATCCTGGCGGTTCTCGTACCACCGCTGGGATAGAGGGCTGGCGCAGGGGCTTTTTCGGAAGTTTTTCCAAAAAACAATTGAGTTTGGCTCAGATCCTCCGAGKGTGAAAAGGAGGCCACAAGCCCTCAATCCTGGCGGTTCTCGYACCACCGCTGGTATAGAGGCCTGGCGCAAGGGCTTTTCCCAAAAAAAAAAAAAAAAAAAAAAAAAAAAAAAGGAGGCCACTCTCTTGGTTGAAGATGCCTCCAACCTCCAGATTGAACACCTGATCTATGGTTGGAAGGGGGTGCTAGGCCCAGATTCCTGCATACCTGTTTTAAATTACAAACCCAAAATCGGCATCCAGATATTATGGGCAGGAGTTAAAAAAACAGCCAGTGCCGGCCGCTGCAGAGAGACTTCCCAAGGAACCTGGCTTTTCACTGGGAAATCTGGACTTGTTTTCCTCTGGAAGGGACTGAAGCTGATGGTGTCTCAGAAGAAGGCGAGTTTGGCCTGGCTTCAACTACTTCTTGTGCCGCCCTCGGCAACGTGGTTGGTCTCTAAGGGAATGGGGAATACCCGCAATAGTGAACAATGTGCACGGTGTACTTGGGGGTGGGAAACCGCATCTCATATTTGGTTATACTGGAGTGTGGAAGGAATAGTGGAAACCAATAGCAGGAAATGGTTTCCCGTGGTCTCAAGAGTGGGCGCTGTATGGTACCATGGATCCAGTGCAATGTTTCTCTTCAGGATTAGCGCCTGTCTTCCTGGCCTGCAGGGGAGCTTTTATGGAAGCTCTTTGGAAGGCTCTTAATAGAGCAACCTTTACAAAGGAAACTACTTCCTCTTAGGAAGCCGACCGCTGCTGTGAAACCTCTCATAGGCATGACAATTCTTTTTTTTTTTTTTTCTTTTCTTTTTTCTTTTTTTTTTTTAAACGGCTGAACTGCTAGGCACGACAATTCATACTGATTGTCATTTTGCTCGGACTCCGACATCGAAGCAACCGCTACTGCGTTTCGCAGACGCAGGAAAAAGATACCAGTTTTGTGTCGATCTCTTTTTTTTTTTTTTTTTTTTTCGCAGACGTGGGAAAAAGATACCAGTTTTGTGTTGATCTCTCTTTTTTTTTTT